GTGTTTTGAGAATAAATTCTTTTTACTTAATATATCATGAGCACTTTCCCACACTTTGACACTTCTTTGAAATAATATTTTACTCATGAGTCTACAGACAGGCTTGGTTTTCACCCCATGCAATTAATTCCCCAGGTGTTCTTGCATTTTTTTATGCTGTCAGCCTCTAAGAATAATAGGGACTAACATTCAAAGAAAAGGTGAGACTTATATGCTCATTGGATCTTTGTTCAAATTTTATTTCAGAAAAAAAAATTTATTTCAGGAATTCACACAAAATCAAAACAGAATATATTCATACAAATGGAGTCTTTTGAAATTTAGAATTGGTAGACACTAAGATTCTTTCTATAAATGTAAAAATCCATTTCTTAGATTAAGAATGCCTACTAACAATATATTTTAACAAGAAATTCTTATTGGAAGTTTTGTCATAAATGTAATTTTTCATGCTCAAAAAATACTGAGAGTCAATTTTTAAAAGACTTTCCAGTATTTTAAGGTTTTTGTTTGTTTTGTTTTGAGACAGGCTATGCAGTTCAGTTTAGCCTTGAACTAACTATATAGGGTGGCCTCAGATTCACAGTGATCCTCCTGCTTCAGCCTCTTGAGTGCTGGGATCACGAGTATCGGCCACTTATAGCCCATTATTTTAACTTAGTAAAACAGTGTTTTTCTTTTGTGGGGTGTTATGAGAGTCTTTTTAAGTTGTTTTGACTGCATATCATAGCTTTTTTTTTTTTTTTTTTGTGAAAATTATCATTAGACCAGTTTAAGTATAATACATTTAGAGCTTCTTAGCAGTTGGTGTTCCAGGAGTTTCTGACTGGCAGTGAAGGCCTTAAAGTAAGGGTACCAGGATATGTTCTAAATATAGTTTACTTGCAATTATTACGGCATACAGAAAATATTTGGCCTATTAAATTGTTTCCTCCTATTTTTTTTTTACAGCTAGCAAGTTTTTCATAAGTGTTATTACCATAAATGTAAATATGTAAGCAAAATATTTATGGACAAAAGTAAAGATATGATAAATATTTTCTTCCTCTATTCTCCAAATTAAGAACAGTTATGTAAGTTGCATTTAGGGGTAAATGGACTTTTATGTTTTAAATATTTATGGAAGATGTTGAATGTAAGAAACAGGTAAGAGAATAGTGTTAAGTGAAATTGGGAGTATTATATCTTTCTATTTTCAAAACTTAATGTAAATTATACAAATAAAAGATTTTTAGTTTTGTTCTGAAGTAAGTTATTATAGTGAGTTGAGACAATATTTAAAAAGAAGAAAGGTAGGGATAGTGGCTCATATCTGCAATCCTAGCATTCAGGAAGCTGAGGCAGAGAATTGTTTAGGCTCACCATGGGTTAAATAGCATGAATCTGTTTTTCAAAAAAAAAAAAAAAGCAGAACTGTTTATAAGTGGGACTTCATTTTATTATATGCATATTTTCCATCTTCAGTGATTTTTATTTATAATAAAAGATGTATAATAATTTAGTCAAAAAACTATGTAGTTCTGTTATTTCTATATGGATGCCAAACTTTTTTAAATTATAGTTTATTCATTTCCAGCTAGTTTAAAGTATAATAGTAATGTCTTACAAATTTGATTATTTCAACCTCATACTTTTTGTTGTCATTTTATGGTGTGACAATAATAGTTTCTTAAACAGAGCCACTGACTGTCTGGACTTGGTTATGCTTTGCTGCTAGGGTTGTTTCACAGGATCTCTGGCCTCTACCCACAAGATTCTAGTAGTAATCCCTAGTCATGAAACCAAAAATTTTTCCTCAGGGAGCAAAATTGACTGCTGTTGAGAATCACTGCTGTGGCGTATTTACTGAAATTGTGATCATGGTTTTCCAGAGCATAATTTGGAATAAAGTAGATACCATTAGTAGCTAAGCACAAAATCAGCAAAATAAAAAAGGCTGTTAGGCAGTAATTTTGGATAGTTCAACATAACAAAAATGTCAGACTATATTTCTTAATGAGAGACTAGATTGTCTAGGTGATTGGTATAGAACGCACCACTAGCTACATTTTAGTGAATGCTACATGGGAGAAACAAAATTAGTTAATAGTTATAGATGGCTGTTTTTTTCTTTAGTCATTATTTTAAAATGTAAGGCACAGTATTGCAGATATTAAAAAACATGTCAGTGTCCTTATATTATTTTGTGTTATCCCCCAAAGCACAGCAGTTTTCCATGGCCTGCTGGAATAATGTGGTCTGTGTTTGTCATTATGTCCATAATGATGATTCCCAGCACCTTGCTGGGAACATCATTAATCTAACTTCTTTTACACAATTTTTGGCTTTCTATATCATGACCAATACTCATCAGGCAAGTCAGCTCACAAGGTGTTCGTCAGTTGTAATGTATGCTAGAGGAAATGGGAAAATGTACCTCATTCAGAGACAGAGAAAACCAAAACATTTAAATATCACTACAGATCCATAATCACACCTAAAAATTAAAATAATCTCTTAATATCATTAAGTATTCTGTCATTCTTCAAATTTTCGATTGTCTCACAAATGTCCTGTTTTACCATTTTTCATTTGAATCAGGACTCCAAAAAAATTCACAGCTTATAACTATTTGATGTTTCTTAAATGTTTTCTAAATACTTAGGTTTCCTATCTTTTTCCCAATTGTATTTTGTTGAAGAAACTGAGTTACTTATATTGCAGTTTCCCACTGCCTACACTTTGCCTCATCCTGTCGTTTCCTTAAGTGTCCCTTATGTCTGTCTCCAGTGTTTCCTAGAAGCTGGTACTTGCAGTTAGAGACTTGATCAGATTCAGATTTGGTTTTCTTTCTGGCAAGTCTTTAAAAAAAACAATAGCCAGTGACAGCATTGTTGGGGGTTTTTTTTTTTTTTTTTTGTCTTTTTCGTTTTTTATCGGTACTAGGGATCGACTGCCTGCTTGCAAGGCAGAGGCTTATGCCGCTGAGCTAAATCCCCAGCCCCGACAGCATTGTTTTTAAATGGGTGTTTTGTTTTGATTTGTTTTGGAACTGGGAATCAAACTGAAGATCTTGTACTTGCCAGGCAGGTGCCCTGTTGCTGAGCTATATGTGTGGCCCAGCATTGTTGACCTCCCCCGTTAGTGACTTGCAAGTTGACTTAGCTAACATTCATTGAATATTTACCATGTGCCCAACAATGTGCTTGTGTTCTCCCATCTTAATGCCAACTAAGCCCTGCTTAGCTTCTGAGATCAGACAAGATCAGGTGCATTCAGGGTGGTATGGCTGTGGATGGTGCTTGTGTTCTATAGTAATTTGTCACTTCATCTAAACCTCATAATACTAATACAAACCAGTTTCTATATGAGGAATAGACCTCTTAGAGCCAAATAATCTTGAATGTCTTTCAAACAAGCCCCTTAGTATATATCTCATTCTCATTTATTTGATTTAATGTGTTTATCTGAATTTTCCTTTTATTTGATTCATTTAAAGCTACCCAAAAATGTTTTGCATTAAACACCATTTAGATTTTTAATAAATCTCAAAGACCTGGCATGTAACTATGAACTCATTGTACTCAAGCTTTTGGGATTTACCATCTGTTAACCCCTCCATAACAGATAGCTAAACCCCAAATAGGGCCAAAAGAATTCAGTATTTTCTGACTCTTTTTCCTTTCTACTCATTGTTTTCTGCAGGTGCACTTATGGCTCTTTCATCTCTCTGCTTTCTTTGCCTACTCACAGTGCTCACAGTGTCCTACTGTTTCCCAATGTGAGAAACTGGCTTGTGATTGTAAAAGCAAAAGTAGCTTTTCATTGTTTGTTTATGCATCTTTAATTTATTCTGCTCAGTTCTCTCTATAGTTCTCCATAGTTGCTCTCCAGATCCAAAAAATGAACGTCAAATTATGTTGAACTGTCACTTCTAAAGATTAAACTGTTTGGTATCGGTTGATGGACTAAGTTTCAATTAGATATCAGAGCACTGGAGGCAAAACAATACAAAGAGGATCTTATTGTGTGGCTTTGCAAGTTGACATGCAAGGAATAATTTATTTTTTTCCATCCCAGGGACCAAAGCCAAGGTTGCTGTATCACTCAGCCACATGCCCAACCCTTTTTGTTTTATTCTTTGTGGTGCTGGGGACATGCACTCAGGGCCTTGTACATGTAAGGCAAGAACTCTACCACTGAGCCACACTCCCTAGCCTATATTTTGAACCACCAAGTGGTTAAGTTGCCCTGGCTGGACTTGAATTTATACTCCTATCGCTACCTCCCAAACTGGAATTATAGACATGAACCAATATGCCCAACTGAGTACTGTGATTTATTCTTAATAAATCTTAATTTTTCTTCTCCAATCATTTGGTTGGCTGAATAGAGGGAACCTAAATCTCTGGTGCATACAATAGAAAAATAGCAATGACTATGGAATTTGATTTTTTATTCTAGTTTCAACAATGAGAAATTAGACAAATAACCAGATTCTTTGTTCTTGTGTCTTTTTTTTTTTTTTTTTAAACTGGAAATTGAATTCAAGACCTTGCTCTTGCCAGGCAGGTACTTGTGATACTGAGCTATATCCCTGGCCCTGTTGTTACTTTTTTAAAAAAATTTTTACATGATTATTCATAAAGACCTTTAAATTCTTATCTGAGTCTTTTGTAAGCTCTTAGTAAATAGATCGTATCTTCCTTTACCTGATGTTACACTGTAGTATGATACATGTGCTTGTGTTTAGTAAGTAGCTTTTGATGATGGTGGCTTTTGAAAGGGTATACATCTAAAAGGATATTTTGTTCCTTTTTTTTTTTCTTGGCAGGACCAAGGAACTTCCTTTTCTAAGACCAGTGCTGTTTGGTCTTGGTGAAAGTGCACTTTGTTCTACAATTGCCATATGAAAGCCTAGTATATACTGTGTTATTCTAAGAAAAGGGAAATGACTTCTAGGTCAGTGAATGCTGACTTGGTGCTGAATGAATGATTGTTATGTGCTCTTTTACTCCCAGGCTCGCTTCTCGTATGTTCGGATGAAATATCTTTTCTTTTCCTGGTTGGCGGTCTTTGTTGGAAGCTGGATTATATATGTGCAATATTCTACCTATACAGAACTATGCAGAGGAAAAGACTGTAAGAAAATAATAGTAAGTATTTGTAATTTTCTGGTTTCTTTTTAACACACTATAGTTAATACCTAACTATTCACTAACAACTAACTATTCACTAACAAAGTTTCAAAAATAAAAGTTAATTTCACATGAACGTTGTACTGAACATGCTGGCTTTTTGATGACTAAGTTAAGGATACTCCTCATCTTGAAATATCCAGTATGCAAAAATATAAATATTATGCACTACAAATAAGTTAATGTGGAAGCATCCTCATTACACAGTTTCTGGCTTTCAGATATATTTGAACTTCAGTTTACCCTAATCAGATGAGTTTTTAACATTTAGAATATAAGTGTTACTGATAAGCAAGCTTTCTGGAGCATGTCTTTTTAATAAGTACTCATTCTCAAATACTGAATTTTATATTAAAAGCATATATTTGCTATTCATTTTCTCTCCTATATATTTAGTATGTGTCAGGAAAATCATGCTGTTCAAGTCAAAGATTTTTAGCAGAAAGTGTTGGTTCCATGGCACTTACACATATTAAATGTGTTAGGATTTCAAGTAAATTTAAACTCCTTGATTTCTGTCAGCAGCTTCTAATATATAAATATTTTTAAAATTCTGAGATAAAGTATTTTAGGTTATTTATTTAGAATATATTTATTTTGTTTTGTTTTGTGGTATTGAGGCTTAAGCCCAGGACCTGGCATGCTAAGCTCTCCCTCTGAGCTACACCCCCAGTCCGTAGAATTATATGTGTGTATGTATGTTTTAGTTTGTATGTTTGTTTTGGTTCTAAGGATTAAATCCAGGGCTTTATGCATGCAGGTAAGCAGTCTACAACTGGGCTACATCTCTAGCCCTTTATTTTTTATTTTGAGATAGGGTCTTGCTAAGTTGCCCAGGCTGGCCTCAAATTTGTGATCCTCTTGCCTCACCCTCCTGACTAGCTGAGATTATAGGTGTGTGACATGGTACCTGGCTTAGAATTATACCTTTCATAATAATGATTTTGAGATACTAGTGATTATAGCCTATTAAAGATTCTGTATGTATTGAATATGACTTTACCCATACTAGTTAGGCTAGGTATATATATATATATATATATATATATATATATATATATATATCAAAGGAAGAAGAACTCTTGACTTTATAGAAGTTATAGTTATATAGCTGGGTGTGGTGGCACATGCCTGTAATCCCATCACTTGGGAGGCCGAGGCAGGGGGATCATTGCAAGTTCAAGACCAGCCTGGGCTACAAAGTGAACTCAAAGCCAGCCTGAACAGTATAGAGAGACCTTGTCTCAACAACAAAAAAAAAAAAAAAAGAAGAATTTATAGTTTGAAGGGAGAAAAATGAGTAATCACAGAGAAATATTACAATAGGAAGTATTATAGGGATATACATGAAAACCTAAGATTTTCCAGAGTTCTAAAACATAAAAACCAGTTCAACATTACATATTCCATCAGCCAGGATTAAAAACAAGAACAAAATATTATTCAGGAGTATGATAGTTTCTTAAATGGGAAAGGTAAAAATCACTAAAAAACAGGAATGAATTAGTAAAAAAAGGGTCCCAAATCAAGATTTAAAGATATCAATAATATGTCTGTTTCCGTTGGCCATTCCAGATTCTTCAGAAATTTTAAGGTAAGAGAAATCTTTGGGGCCAGTTGATGTACAAGGTTCTTTACGCGTTAATTTCATAGCTAAAATAATACTATGAAATATCCCCAAACCCATTTTATAAATGCAGAAATATGACCCAGAAAAAAGAGACAATGGAGTCAAAATTTGGCCCAATTCTGTCTCTATGTAAAGTTCATATTCTTCCTGCTACTCTGTGTCAGAAGAAACTAACAGAGGAAGTTACAGTCCGATAAAGCTAACAAAAAATCTACAACTCTTATCTGTTCACCTTCAGTGAAGAAGAAAGGAGCAGGAGTTATATAATCAATTACAATAACATACAGTTTACCAAAACTATTTTAAATGTTTATTCCCTTCCAAAAGAATGCTTCCTCAGCCCAACATGGCCATGGATTAGATCCCCAATAGTGAAAAGAAAATCCATGGATAGAATATTTTCCTGGTCAGATATATGTGGAAACATAGAGTTAGACAAAAAAATAAACAGCTGACGTTCCTGGAGACTTCTAAGTGCCTTTAATGTGGTTATGTGTATTACACATCTTTAAGAGAATCCAAATATATTTGAATGAAAAAAGTATATCCTCACCAGCTCCCTTTCCAGGAAGACCTATTAGCCTCTTCTGTTGATTTTAAAAGTACTATTCTAGGAGATTAAGCCAAAATTAAATGAATTTAATTGAAAGTATCTTGTATTGATATAATAAAATGTAAGGTACATATTGGTCCATATTCTGTCATAAGTGAATTATAGTTGAAGTGCCTCATTTTTCACTTTAATTTAATTTCCTTTTAACTTAATTTATAAGAAATAGAAACAGAATCTAATTGAAATATAATTTGATACTTAATAAAACTTGAAAATAATGAAAAAGCTTTCTAAGTCTAAAATACATCATTTTTCTAAGGCTGGCAACAATTGCAGTTAGTCTGCATTTGGAACTATGTTTTGTAAACCTTCCATAACCGGTAATACTAAGGATAGTATGGTAAGATATACTATGCATAGGAACTATGGAATTAGAACTAACCAGAAAAAAAAAATATTTTAAAAGTGTATTTAAAGGGGATGGGGATTTAGCTGAGTGGCATAAGCGCTTGCCTTGCAAGCACGCAGTCGTGAGTTTGATCCCTGGTACCGATTAAAAAAAAAAAAAAAGTGTATTTAAAGCTTAAAAGACCTAACGTGATAGTGAAGAATAACTTGATCAAGAATTGGAAGATGGCCAGGGATTTAGCTCAGCGGCGTTAGTGCCTCCCTTGCAATCGCACAATCGGGCGTTCAATCCCTGGTACCAAAAAAAAAAAAAAAAAAAAGATTTGGAAGATGGTGAAATTTGAGGACAGTGAGTTTGGTTTTAACAGTGAGCTTAGTTTGTATAGCTGCTTTTTCTTAGAGATATATGCCCTGAAATACAGTTTTAAGGTGGTATGGAACTAAAAATCTAGTCCTAGTCCAATCAGAAGTGGGAAACCTGGTATGCTAGGCTCTTGAGCTGAGAACCTGAAGGGCTAACCAAAAAGTAAATGTGAGCTAACGAATTTCAGAATGATGAGCTGAATTTCCTAATCTCCTTTACCCTGTGTAAGTAAATGTGTTGATTGTGAGCAGGACAAAAGGGTCAGAGAAGGCCAGCGGTGGTGGTACCTACCTGTAGTCCCAGCACTTCAGAGCATGAGGTAGGAGAATCATCATGAGTTCAACGCTAGCCTGGGCTACATAGTGAGTTCAAGGCCAGCTTGAGGTACATAGCAAGACCCGTCTCAAAACAACAACAACAACAGCAGCAAAGGTGGGGAGTGTCTCAGAAGCAGAACTATAATCATGCACCACATAATGTCATTTTCAGTCAACAAAGAACACATACATGATGATATATGCCATAAAGCCTCTATGTTTAGCAGGTTATATCATCTAACTTTGTGTAAGTGCATTCTATGATGTTAGCACAATGAGGAAGCCACCTAACCATGTATTTCTCAGAAATATCCCAGTTAAGTAACTTACCTATATACTGCTGAGCTGGGTGTGATGGCTCACGCCTGTAATCCCAGCATGGGAGGCTGAGGCAGGAGGATCATTGCAAGTTCAAGACTAGCCTGGGCTACAAAGTGAGCTCAAGGCCAGCCTGCACTGCATAGCAAGACCCTGTCTCAAAAAGACAAAAAAGAGGGGGAAAAAAAAAAACCCAAAACTATATATTGTCACAGAGCTGTTGCTGGGAGCAAGAAACTGGCAGAGCCTTTGTTAGAAAACTAGGGCTACCTCATGTATCCCACCAGAATATCTGCCAATTTCTGGGGACCAGGAGAATGGGAGGATAAAATTTCATTGAAAGGCAGAGCAGCTGGGAATATAGCTTAATAGTAGAGCACTTGCCTGGCATGTGCAAGGTCCAGGGTTCAATCCCCAGCTGCTGGGGAAAAGAAAACAAAGGAAAGGTAAAGCAGACATTTTGCACTTCAGTGGTTTTATAAAATACAGATTAAAGTTATGTGTAATGATTTTCAGTTAAAAGCCCAGAGGGATATGCCCTCAGAATGAGGATAAGCCAAAATAGCTTGAGGTTTACCAGAGTTACAACCTAGCTTCAACTCTGCACAGTTCATAATTGGGTTAAGATGACCAGCTATCATTACATCTGCCTTGTAGAGGGAAGGGAAACTCTGGAGCCATTGCATGAAAGAAAAAAATTACAAGGATTGCTAAAAATCAAGATTACATGACCAGAAACCTAGAGATTAACATAGACACTAAAAGTACGTCAATAAATGATTTGGATAATAGAGTCATTCAAAAAGAACTTCATATTCACCTAAATAGAAAAACCTATAGAGGAAATAAAACAATGGATAATTTCAATAGAGAATTATAATGTATAAAAAACTTCGAGAGCTGTTTGGAAATTCCTCAATGTGTGGGGATTTTTTGTTGTTTTTTTTTTTTTATCTTTTTTGAGACAGAGTTCTGCTATGCAGTTCAGGCTGGCCTTGAACTCACTATGTATCCCAGACTGGCCCCAAATTCATGGTGATCTTCCTGCCTCCTCCTCCCAAGTGCTAGTATTACAGGTGTAGCGACCATACCCAATTTCAAATGTAAAGCATAGAATTACCATAGTATCCAGAAGTTCTTCCTCTAGATATAAAAAAATTTAAAGCAGGAACTCAAACACATACTTAGAAACCAATGTTCATGGTATTCTTAAGTTCAGCACCCCAACCCAAAATCCAAAATGCTTGGAAACCCAACTGCTCCAAAGTCCAAAACTTTTTGTGTACTGAAACAGTATTCAAAAAGTTTCAGATTTCATAGTGTTTCTAATTTCAGACTTTCCAGCTATAGATCTTTTATGTATAAAGT